CTCCCCCCGCCCCCTGCCCAGCCTCTCCACTCAGGCTGGGTGCAGTGGCCCACGCTCCCCGAGGCGCCCCTGACCCTCTGCTCTGCAGGACACAGCCCTGGCGCTCTGGTTCCCCTCCATGGTGCTGGCTGCCGCGAAGGCTGTGCTGTCTGGCCGGTCCTCTTTGGCGAGCCTCATCTTCTGGGGCATCGGGCCCTGTGCACGCAGCTACAGCAAAGAGCAGGTACGCCCATCAGTCCGGACGGGTCGCCTGCCTCTGCCCCACCATTGCTGCCTTTCTGCTGCGTTTTGAATCTCCACTCAGGCTGGGTGCAGTGGCCCACGCTCCCCGAGGCGCCCCTGACCCTCTGCTCTGCAGGACACAGCCCTGGCGCTCTGGTTCCCCGGGTCGCCTGCCTCTGCCCCACCATTGCTGCCTTTCTGCTGCGTTTTGAAGGTGCTGCGTTCTGCTTGCAGGCGGTGCTGCAATGGGGTGGGGATGTCAAGTCTGAACCTGTTGTAGCCAGCCTTGGTGACAGACTGGCACCCCTTCATCGTGGGTAGCTGCAGAGGGACCCTTCCTCTTCATCCCCCTGATAGCCAAGCCTGTTCCATCCTGGCTGTCCTGAGTGAATGCCGCCCCCCCCTCAACCTGGCCCAGACCCTCACACATCCCTGCCACCCTCCACCGCTTTTTTTCCCTCTCCCCTCCCTCTAGCTGGCTGAGCCAAGTACAGTGAAGGAGGGGCCACCACGTGAGATGCAGCAGCTCCTGGCAGGGCTGGCTGAGCCTTGTGCCTGACTGGAGCGGTGAGTACAGGGCAAGGGCTATGTTTACGGGACGAGGGGGGTGGCTCCGCTGTCAGGAGGGCCCCTGCTCACACCAGCCCCCTGAACCATTGCTTTCCAAGCACATGCTACAAATACCGGCCAGAGGTGCCAGCGTGTGCCTGACGCTGCCAGCGCAGCCCTGCGCTCACGCGTGCCCTTCCACTCCCAGGTGGCGCTGCAGAAGTCCTGCGATCCAGCCAGGTGAAGCTGCACCTGCGCCGTGCTCCTGCCCCAGGGGTAGGCATGGGTAGGGTGGGCTGCGGGGGGGGTGTGTGTGTGCGTCCCCCCCAGCCCCCCCACCCCACCCAGGACAAAACCTGCAGGTTCCAGACATAAGCTGCCCGGGGGCACCAGGCAGCCTTCGCCCAGCAGGCGCCTTGGGCCTCGGACGCTCTCCCCTGCTCTCCCCAAGCTGCAAGGCCCTTCCTGGCACACTAAGGGTGCCATCGGCCTTCTACATGCTGTGGTGGGGGCACACAGGGGTGCTGGGACCTAGCGATACCCAGGGCTGGTCCTGCTGCAGAGCAGACAGGGTCACTTGCTGTGCCCATGCCCAGGAGGCCAAGGAGTGGAAGGTGAAGATCCCCGTTGTTGTGAGCCTCAGTTGTCTCCCTGAGTAAATAAACTTTTCATTTTCACACTGGCTGCTCTAAGTGGCTTCCCCACGTGGCTGCCTGCTGGGAGCTGGGCCCACTGATGGAAGGACAGTGCAGTGGGGGTGTACGCCCATCTCCATGCTTGTCCCCACCAGGCACAGGACTGCAGAGAGCCGCACGCTCCCAGTCACCCAGCGGGGCGGAGGGTGCGTGTGTAGCATGGCTGCGGTGAGGCTGAGACACATGTAGGGGTTACAGCCCCGTGCCCTGGGAGCTGCCCCTGTTGCTGGGCTCAGCATCCCTTGACAAACAGGAGCACAGCCGGGTTGAGAGACGTGTTTATTGGGGGTGGAAGTGGAGGGTGCTGAAGAACAGGACCAAAAGCTGCCAGAGTCCAGCTCACTGGAAAGAGAAGCTGGTGCTCGGGAGCCCCCCACACCACTGGCTGAGGAATTTGAGCACGTCTTGGCACGCAGGGCTGTGGGATGTCTGCAGAACGAAAGAGGCCTTGGCACTGGCAAGAGGGCACCCTGGGAGCTGACAGCGCTGCACAGGCAGGGCTGGCTCTGCCCCGGCTCCGAGGTTAATCCCCACCCAGCAGCACACAGGGAGGGTGCACTAAAGCCGCCCTGGTTCAGCCGCTCTCCACCCAGCGGGACAATGTTTTATTGTCAGCATGAAGGGCTGAACACCCCACAGCCTGACTCCCTGCCCCACAGGGTGCCTGGCTTACCTTGACAGCCATCAGGAACTTGTTCCATGTGTCCTTGTTGGCTTCTCGGCCTGGCCGCTTGAACTCTATCTTGTTCCTTAGCACAGGGTACCCTGGTCACACAGTGACACCTTCAGAAACAAGCAGAGACCCACAGCAGCCCCCCTCCCACCTCGTGCACCCCTTCCCTCTCCGCC